CTAACCACTGGGAGAGGCGAGAAATGTGTGCAGATTTCTTAGTACAAAGTTGTAATAAGAGAAAAAGAGAGCACTGCTAAGAAGACCAAAAGGTCTAAAAACAAAAAAGATTTAATGGTATATTTAGAAAAGAAAAATAATAAAATAAGTATCTAAATAACAGCAAGATACTAAATACAAAACACAACATAAAGAAAAAACGAAAAAATAAAGAGTCTAATATAAGACGTACCAAGCGTTCCAGTACTAAAATATGAATACAAATGCTCGACCCCACTAGCGCACGTCTGCGCTGTAGGGAGGAGATATACAAAATACTAGGAGGGTGAATAGAGTCTAATAGAACAAATGTGCACGTGTATGCTAAATGTTGGCAATCTAACACGTGATGGATATAGAGGGAAGTAATGTTATATAACCTGTAAAATACTCTGTCCCTAGATAGCGATGGTCTCGAATAGGGTCCTAATACAGATAGAGTCATTGTGAAAAAACTATACCCTCGTAGATCATAGATATCTAATATTGAAAATAGAACAGGGTAAGAAAAGCTTATGGGATCCCTGGACCAGACAGTGATAGATAAAGACTAAACATGTGTAGTAAATGAACGGCGGAAATGTCTATTCGATACAAAGTGTCGGTATCATATGTTCAATCTGAATAATGATACACTTGTATATAGAAACAGAGAAAGGAGGTTTAGATGATACAAAAATATTGCAACCAACACTGCAATGGTGTGAAAAATAGAGAAAGTGTAACGAATAGAATAGATAACTCAGACTTCTTAAATAAATAAAGGGGATTTTAGATTTTCATTTATGCCGATAGTGTATTAGATTATCAATATCTTTTTCCAGCGTTCCAGTTTATTTAGCTTTTGGGTTGTATAGCGAGGGGGACTGGATCTAGGTGCCCTCGAAGGCACGGGGGGTATAGATAGCATTAGTTTAGGTATTCTTGCCTTTACCTTTGCCTTATTTTATTTAAGAAGTCTGAGTTATCTTTTCTATTCGTTACACTTTCTCTATTTTTCACATCATTGCAGTGTTGGTTGCAATATTTTTGTATCATCTAAACCTCCTTTCTCTGTTTCTATATACAAGTGTATCATTATTCAGATTGAACATATGATACCGACACTTTGTATCGAATAGACATTTCAGCCGTTCATTTACTACACATGTTTAGTCTTTATCTATCACTATTTGGTCCAGGGATCCCATAAGCTTTTCTTACCCTGTTCTATTTTCAGTATTAGATATCTATGATCTACGAGGGTATAGTTTTTTCACACTGACTCTATCTGTATTAGGGACTCTATTCGAGACCATCGCTATCTAGGGACAAAGTATTTTACAGGTTATATAACATTACTTCCCTCTATATCCATCACGTGTTAGATTGCCAACATTTAGCAGACACGTGCACATTTACTCTATTAGACTCTATTCACCCTCCTAGTATTTTGTATATCTCCTCCCTACAGCGCAGACATGCGCTAGTGGGGTCGAGCATTTGTATTCATACTTTAGTACTGGAATGCTTGGTACGTCTTATATTAGACTCTTTATTTTCATTTTTTCTGTATGTTGTGTTTTGTATTTAGTATCTTGCTGTTATTTAGATACTTATTTTATTATTTTTCTTTTCTAAATATACCATTAAACCTTTTTTGTTTTTAGACCTTTTGGTCTTCTTAGCAGTGCTCTCTTTTTCTCTTACAACTTTGTACTAAGAAATCTGCACACATTTCTCGCCTCTCCCAGTGGTTAGGTACATTATTCTATAATTTTCCTGTTCTACTAGGGGTTACCCCCCTGCATTTAGTATACCCTATTTGGCTGAATTCAATTAGTTCTTATACCCAAAGATATAATGCATGGGTTTATGATACAGAGAAATCTACTAGGTCACAAATGTATGACCTCTTGAGACTTGCCCAGAAGTGGCTACAGCCAGAAACCAACTCTGCTGTAGTAATCTTTGAAAAGGTGGTCATGGATCGTTTTTTTAAGGAGTCTGCCGATAGCGCTATGGAAATGGGTCAGTCAAGCGGATCCAAAGGACCCAGAAGAAATTATGAGCTTGACAGAGAGAGGTTTGCTAACGAAACTCGGAGTAAAGAGCCTTACCTCAACGCCAAATGGCAAAGTAACAGGAAACCTGCAAAGAATTCTGGAGGATTTAAAGAAACAGATGAAAAAAAAAGATAATGTACAGACCCATAGACAGACTGACTACATGGAAAATTGGGTGCCCAAGTCCCCAACCCGGCCACGAGGCCAGACTGAGAGACAGATAAAGTGTTATAGGTGTCAGGCGATTGGACATATTGCAGGTAACTGTCCACAGACTGATGAACCTATGGAATGTAATTTGGGGAGTGGGGAGAAACATGGTACATTGTTGGTATACACACAAATGTCTGCTTTAACAAGTACTGGTGGTATTAACCATGTCAAATCTGTAAATATGGAGGAGAGGAGTGTGCAAGCACGCTTAGATTCAGGGAGTGAGGTTTCATTGGTAAAGAGATCTTTACTTCAGCGTGAGCAAGTAGATAAAATTCACGTGTTTGATATAATATGCATACATGGTGACACCCACACGTACCCCACGGCCGAGGTGGAATTTGCTACCGCGGTAGGGGTGATAAAACATAGAGTTGGGGTGGTACCATCATTGCCTTATGATGCTGTATTGGGGTGTGATTTTTCCCCTCTTTCGTAAAATTTGGGAAGATACTGCAATAAAACAGGATAAGCGTACAGAGGTAGAGGCAGAAACAGTGGGTTTAGAGAATGTTTTCCCTTTTTATACGATTGATTTGGAGCAGTATAGTGAAAATGAACCCACTATAGTATGTTTGGGTGAGGAAGGGGAACACAATGAAAATGATTCCTCCCAAGTAGAAAATCTAAGGGAAGAGGTGGAGTTCCATCATCTAGGTATTAGTTCAGGAAATTTACAGGTAGTGGAAGGTACTCCTGTTAACCCGGAAACCCAATTGTCCCATCCCTATTTTGCAGAAAGAAATAATTTACTTTAGTAGAGAGGACGGGGGTTGAAGAGGTTGAGCAATTACTGATACCTCAATCCCCCAGGAACCTAGTCTTAAAACTAGCCCACAGCCATGTATTAGGGGGGCATCTTGGGATTGAAAAAACCAGGGAGAGAGTACTAAGAAGATTTTACTGGCCAGGAATCTACTCTGCTATAGAGCGATTTTGCAAGTCATGCCCAGAATGCCAAAGAAAGGCTCCATTCCAAGCTTTCCGTAATCCCCTCATTCCTCTTCCCATTATAGAAGTCCCATTTGAAAGAATTGCTATGGACCTTGTTGGTCCTTTACTTAAATCCGCTAGGGGGCACCAATATATATTGGTAGTACTAGATTATGCTACCCGCTATCCCGAAGCTATACCTTTAAGAAATACCTCAGCTAAAACCATTGCCAGAGAGTTAATGTTTATGTTCAGCCGGGTTGGAATACCTAGAGAAGTACTTACAGACCAAGGTACTCCTTTTATGTCATGAGTGATGAAAGAGCTATGTAACTTGTTGAAGATTAGACAATTGAAAACTTCAGTGTATCACCCACAAACTGATGGGTTAGTGGAAAGATTTAATAAAACCTTAAAAGCAATGCTCCGTAAGGTAATTGATAAAGATGGTAAGAATTGGGATCGGTTGCTCCCATGTCTAATGTTTGCTATCAGAGAAGTCCCCCACGCTTCCACAGGGTTCTCACCTTTTGAATTGTTATATGGCAGACATCCTAGAGGTCTCCTTGATGTTGCAAAGGAAACATGGGAACAGGAACACATGCCTCATAAGTGTTATTGAACATGTGGCACAAATGCAGGATCGCATCGAGGCCATAATGCCAATTGTCAGGGAAAATATGGAGCGAGCACAGGAAGCCCAGAAAGCTAGTTATAACAGACTTAGGGTCTTTCAACCCGGAGACAGGGTTATGGTACTAATCCCCACAGTAGAAAGTAAATTCCTTGCAAACTGGCATGGCCCATATGAGGTCAATGAGGTGAATTATAAGGTGAGACAACCTGGTAGAAGAAAGCCCGAACAAATATACCATGTAAATTTAAAACCCCTGGACAGACAGAAAGGTCTTGATGGCCATGACAGACAAAGTTCCTCTGACCAAAGTAGACAAAGTACCAGAGGTTAACATTGCTGATACTCTAGCACCTCATCAGAAAAATGAGGTCCGAGAGTTTGTTGCTAGAAATCGGGATTTCTACCCAGCAGTAAGGTTGGCTATGGGGCAGAGCACCGCTGGCCTCTGCCCACCAAATACCCATAACTCCATGCCTGGGAGCACCAGAGAAATCGGGGATGACGGACACCCACTCAGCTACCTGGGACATACAGGACAGAGCCAGACAACAGAAGTCACTAGGACCAGTACTTGCTTATGGGTGGGCTACTCGACTAACTCAGGCACTGACCAACAGAAGGTCAGGTACCTGGTTAGTCTTACCTTGGGGGGGGGGAAGAAATGTGATGAACTGAACCTTGTCACTGGTTCTTGGAGGGGTTTTACTACAACAGATTATCAATTCCAAAGAATACAAATACTTACTACGACATAAAAGCCCTACCTAAGGGGGCGGGCCTGACTAGCATGGAGGACAGACGTGCTTCAGCAGAGCTCCTCAGAAAACATGGCAATTAATGTCGTTTTTAGCCCTAAAAAGCCTGAAACTGACTACAAAAATAGACTTGCCTGACCCACGATTGGGAAGGGAACCGACACCGCGGTCTGTGACCTATCTAAAGCCTGCAGGCAGTGCTACTTGCAACATGAGGCCTACTGCCCGTCGGGCGGGAGACGCGGCCGATCTCCCAGTCTGGGACCACAAGATGCCAACACATGACAAACAAGAGGTCTATACCAGGGAGGCAAACATAGCCTAGTGGGAGCACAGGGTGCAAAACCGAAACACCAACAAATCAGCGCGGCACCCAGCATGGTGGATGCCACGTGTCCCCCCAATCATACAGAGGCTGGACGCAATATTCGCCAATTTCTGGCACAAGCTGGAAGTCAGAACCAAGCCAAGCAACCTTCTTACCAAGAAATTGCCTCCAGCCCGGAAAAAGGCTCAGCAGGTCGCAACTACAAGACAGACCTCACGATCGCGGCGGACCAAGCTGCACCACCGACCCCAGCACAAGAGGGACAAAATAAGCTTGCCGCCAGAGGACAGAGGACCCCCCCCCCCCGACTGGCCCAGCTTGCATCAATCCACGAGGACGCCTACCTGAGCCCAGTGCCGCCCAAGGAAAAGCCCTCTCACATCGTCCACACCGGCTGCCACAGCCTACCCTGTGGGCAACTCCAGCAGTGAAGCAGAGATTGCCAAAGTTGACAGGGCCTGGTGGTGGACCTACCTTCCGGCTCCACCGACGCGCATCCACGCGGCAACCCAGTAAAGGCGACCCATACAAGAGCAGAACACGCCGCCGGATAGAGGAAGCCTGGAAAAGCCTGCAGCAGGAGGAGTGGAACCCAGGAGACTTCGCGTCTGCAGTCGTCAAGGACGTACACCCTGAAGAGACAATGCAAAATAGCAGTTGTCCCCCACCGTAGCCCAGCAGAACGTTGCACACAGGTGTCGCTGAAGCTCCGTCTACAGGCGTCGGATGCGCACATTTCAGCACAGAGCAACTCTCCCCTGCAGCCATGGACTCTAATATTATAAAATCACTTCATTACTGCAGGGAAAGTCCAGCTGTAGCCTCAATACCTTCTAACATCAGGGGCATCCAGTGTTAATAGCACTACTAAACCTATTAGCATTGCTTAGCATGCTTATAATTATGATCCTCAAATTATTGCCTATGCCTGAACCTAGCTAGCTACAATGTACAACTGACAGGGTAGTCCAGTTTAAATTTCTGTGCCTAATCTAGATGAGTACATATCAATATGCATAGCTGTCATGCATACGGGCAGATACCTTATTAGATTCCTGGAAATGACATGACACCACTGGATGTGTTCATCATTAACGTATCGTCCGATATGGAGCTATGACAGATATTGTCAGGTTTCAAAACTGACATGTAAGACTTTTTCATTTGTTACTGGCCCTTTAAGTGAACTTCATGATTTTCTCCTCTAGTGGCCTCCCTAGCCACTAATCTATTCACTCGCCTTAATAACCTCACCTGGATTAACTAATTAGGAGGCTTGATAAGTCTACTCCTAGCACACAACAGTGCCTTGACATTGAAGTCTATGCTCTGATAAAGAATCTCTGTTCCTGGTAATATCCTGTATTTTATCTACATGATTTCATTCTGTAGAGAACTTACCTGCAGTGCCTCATCCTCTACTCATCTGCATTTCCTCATACTGAAAGGCACTAACCTGCATTACTTCATCCTGAATTTGCCTGAATTACATTTTACCGAAAGACTTTCCTTATCAGCTGCCAAGAATCCTGATTTGTGGCGTATTGCCTTCATTGAAGAATCTTAACTGCTTCAATTGCTGCACCACTGCATGATCTCGTAAGCAACCTGCATTATATTATTTTAGAATATACCTACCTGTTTCAACCTCTGCAACTCTGCATGATCCTGTATTGCTTTATCCTAAAAGGTATTTAACTATAACTAGCTGCATTGCAAAGTATCCTGGAAATCCTTAACTACTTGGTATAACTTCAGACCTGCTTGTATACAAAAGACTTTATTCATTTATTTTCTAAAGATCTTGTTTGTGGCAGACTGCCCTTTATTCTTTATTTTCAGTAAATTTGTTATGTCTAATCCGACAAATAAAGTTTTAACCAATAACCCTTGCAATCGTCTCCTCTCTGACCTGCTCAGGAGCATGACAGATATATTGAAAATGGTCGTAATTGTGAGCAATTTTCTTAGTTGCTCCATATAAAGGGGAGAAAAATGCATAATAATAATAAATGTTAGGGAGAAATACACACCAGACAAAGTTTAAGGTTTAAAACTTTAAAGAGGATAAACATCTATTGCATATAAATGTTAAACATAACAATGACAACTATAAATATGAAAAATAAAATGATGAATACATCATCTTTCATGTACAATATAGCAATCTCTTATAGTAGTCTCTGTAGCCTTTGTACATAATGTTCAATTTTCTTTTAAAGGAGAATAACATTTTCCTAACTGTAGTCATGCTAATAGAGAATCTACTGATGCATTGAATCTAATACAAAATGTATATAGATCTAATATAAACAGTATTATAAAAAAAAAGGGCACATTTCGAAATCGCTGTTTAAACCAGCAGGGGTCATGGTGTTGAGGTTGAAGATCCACCTCATTTCTGGTTATCCCATCTTTTTGATGGGATCTTCTCCTCTCCAATTTATATGCACTAATTGGATACCCATAAAGATCAATTGAGTGGGGTCACTATTATGTTGGTATTTAAAATGTGCCGAGAGACTATGATTCTCAAAACCGTTGCGAATATGTTCTTGTATTAGCACATGTAAAGTCTTAGAGGTTCTACCTACATATCCTAATACACATTTACAGATAATCAAGTAAATGACTCTTTTAGAGTAACACGTGATGAGTTGAGTTATCTGAAAAATGTCTTTTCTTCATTGTGGATTAGAGAATGATGTGATATATCTTCTTCTTAAACCACTATTTTGACATGCCCCACACAGGCCGCATCCATAGAAGCCATTTTTCTGGTTGAAAGCATTCTTACTTCCTACTCTATCTCTAATATGGTTTCATACCAAGTTATCTCTTAAATGTGGTACCCCTCTGTAGGTTATCATGGGTTTTTCTGGTAAAATCTTATTTAAAAAGGCATCATTCTGTAAAATAGAACTTAAAAAAAAATATTGTCCTATTTAATTGATAGCTTCTACAGTTAAAATCACATAGAAAAGCAAGTTTGTATCCATCTGCAATATTCGTAGGAGTTTTATATTCTAATAAGGAGGTATGATCTTTTAAAGTGGCTTTATGCTGGTCTTGATCTAGCAACTGATCTTTATATCCTTTTTGTTTAAAATCATTAATAATTTTACACGAGTGTACTTTAAAAACCTCATCATCCATACAATTCCTTTTTATCCACATCAATTGTGCTTTAGGGGCATTTAACAACCACAGGGAGAAATTACAGCTTTTTTCTTCAATGTAGCAATTAACATCTACTTTCTTGAAGAATGTTTTGGTTTTAATTAAGTAATCCTCAACATATAATAGTAAATCTAAAAAATTGACTGAGGTTTGTCTATAATTACTTTCCAGTTTGACTCCCCATTGGTTGTCATTTAGATCTGCCAGAAAACTCAACAGGGAGGATTCATCTCCCTTCCATATCAGGAAAATATAGTATATGTATTGACGATAGAGCCCCAGGTTCGCACCCCAGTCTCTCCTTGAATATATATGCTTGTGTTCTCACGAAGACATAAACAAGTTAGTGTAACTTGGGGCGTACCTGGTGCCCATCCTCGTCCCGCAGTGTTTTTTGTTGTGTTGCTTTTGTCCCCTTTATTTCAGGAGAAGTGTAAAGGGTAAAGTGCCACCAGACGGCACTAAAGCAGATGAGATTTGAGCCTGTCCTGTTTAAGGTTTTTTTGTTGACACTTCACAAGCTTGCTTCACAATTTTCTTCAATACCACAGATTTATGCTTTGTGTCTTCCCCTGTTTTCTCTTTTATATATATATATTGAGGTCAACTGGACAACATTGCTATCTCTATTTTTTTTTTTTTTTATAAGACCAGAAAACCCCTATTTAAGGTAGGTGTATAATCCTTATTATTTACTGCTCCACTCTTGAGTAGTGATGTCGCGAACAGTTCGCGAACTTCCCGCGAACGGCTCGCCGGATGTGTCAGCTGACCGGAGCTCGCTGCGAACGGTTCGTGGCGAACCATGGTGAGCCGTTCGCAGGAAGTTCGCGAACGGTTTACGACATCTCTACTCTTGAGGTTAATTGCTTTCGGGCTCTTTTCCACCTTCTTTTTTTTTGCATAGATGGATAATATGCCTGTTTCGAACTAAGCTAGCAAAAGTGGTGATGTTTTTTGTTTTGTTTTTTATCACGAACTTAGAAAATTGGTAACTGGCAAACTGACAATGGCACAGAATAGAACACCAATTAAGCAACATAAAAAGTGTTATCATAATTTTCTAGAAAAATAACTTTGTATGTGTGGTGGGTAGACTTGGTGATTTAATGGGTGTGTTTTTTAAGCACAGAATAGAATTTTGAACACTTAAATAAAAGTTATATGAAAGGTTTCTTGCCTTTTTTTTTCCTTTCTGAAATTAGATGTTGGATCATTCTTGGTTCAAAATAGAATTTTTATATGAAGCAATTTTGAACACTTCTACTCAAACAATATGAAAAGTACTATTATAATTCTTTTGGAAAATAATTAAGGATGTGTGTATGTTTAAATGGGTGTGTTTCTAATGCATGGAATAGAATTTTGAACACTTTCATATAAGTAATATGGAAAAGTTGCCCTCTCTCTCTCTCTTCCTTTCCATATCCCGAAGCCTGGATGTAATCTAATTTAATCTTTTTCTAATACCTAGATCAACATAATCTCTATGAGACAGCTATTCTATAATCTGTTATCATAGATAAATGGTACTATCTTTAATAAATGTCTAAGCTACTTACACATAATGCTAAATGAAATATTTTTTAAATATTCTCAATAGCATTGAATAGGTTTATACAAGAAACTTGGGGGAGGGAGGAAGGGGAAAACTATTTTTCTTTTCTCTTCTCTACTTTTTACGAAGTTAGATATTGGGTCATTCTTGGCACAGAATATAACTTATATACAAAGTAATTTTGAACACTTCTATTCAAACAATATGAAAAGTATTGGTATAATTCTTTTGGAAAATAATTAAGGATGTGTGTATGTGAGGGGCTTTAATGTGTGTGTTTCTAATGCATGGAATAGAATTTTGAACACTTGAATATAAGGAATATGAAAAGTTTCTCTTTCTCTCTTTCTCTCTTCCTCTCCCTATTCCTGAGCCCAGAGGTAATCTAATATGATCTTTATCATAGAGAAATGATACTATATTTAATCAATGCCTAAGCTTCTTACATATAATGCTAAATTTTATATTTTTCAATACTCTCAATAAGCTTGAATATGTTTCTATAAGAAACCTAGAGGGTTGAAGAAGAAGGGGAGACAACTTTTCTTGTTGTTGTTGTTATAAAATTGTTTATAGAAAAATGTTTTAGTCTGATAAGTAGATCACTGATAATTTTAGACTCAATGATATCCTTTGATAAAGGGACTCCAACAGCCCCAAGTTTATCCCTGATGTATGTATGTCTCGAAGCCC